ATTATTATTATTATTATTATTATTATTATTATTATTATTATTATTATTATCATTATCATTATCATTATCATTATCATTATCATTATCATTATCGTTATCGTTATCATTATCGTTATCATTATCATTATCATTATCATTATTATTATTATTATCATCATCATCATCATCATCACCATAGTCATTATCGCTATCATTGTTGTGGATGCATATACTTTGAGTAGAGAGTAGCTACTAAATGGAAGTATGTGACCCAAGGTCGAAGGGCCTCGCATAACTGCATCCTGCGTGAGAGCCGAATTCCAGTACCGTTATCATCGTGAAATTCTCTTACCGATTATCCGGATAGTCTTGATATTCTTAAAATTTTTCGTTATTTCTATTACGAAACTGATTCTGACACTAAACTTAGTGGAAATTATATGTAGGCTTGACGTGTGGAAACATTCCAGCGAAATCGTTGGCTTAGGATTTTTCATTTTGGTTATCTTGGTAACGCGCATTGACGAGCTGGGGCGAATTATGCATTTTTTTTTTTAGGGACGACGCTTACTTGTCATTGCAACATCATCAAATCGATCATTTTTGCGTGAGCTTGGCTTACTCTCTGCATTTGCCACGATAATAGACGTGCCAGCACTGACAACTGTTGCGCATGTCATGGCCGTAATTGAAGAAACGAATGCGTTATCACGTGAGGAATATGAGCAAATCCGTGCCGAACTTCTGCGAACTTCTAAGGAGTAAGTTATTTTTTGACTAAAAAATGCAAAAAAATTGAACTTTTATTTTGGATGACTAGTGGTTTGAAAGTGTAAAATGAATTTAAGAGACATAATTCTAAAAAGATTTGCGATTTCAGGAAAAAGTTCCGGTTTAATGAATTCTTACTATGCTCATCTCGTAGTGTTCAGTTGAAAAAGCAAAATTTTGGCCCACAGACCAGCGCAGTAGCTGTTGCCATGTAGAAGCTCAAAAAGTTGAAAATCAGCCCTTTTTCCTCCGATATTTTAACTGTTTTTGATAAACTGGAGCGACAAAATTTCGACAACGAGTGCTAACTGCTGATAAGGATGAAGGAGTTTCCTGTCGCGGGAATCTCGCGAAAAGCCGGCAAAGAAGAACCGCCACAAAACTGCACATTAACTAAGGAAGAGCCACAAGAAAACAAGTTGTCTTAAAGAAAAGTAGAAAAGAAAAAAAGATTTATGTTATTTCAAACAAAGCAGATAAGAACGAAAAGGTTTATGAGGCAGATATGCAGTGGAGGGATTTCCAGACTGATTCTAGCACACAAAAGTCGATGATGCAGCGGTTTAGCAAATCGTACGCGAATGTGGAATGGTTCGATTCTCTTCCGGCCCATAGCATTTTCAAAAAAGAGCTCTGTTCCCCGCTTTTTTTACTCAGGGATTGCTTTTGAAGTAAACTCAAGATGACTTGGAATCGTTGATATTCCTCAGCACCAATTTTTTTTGTAGTAGTGGATAGGAGAAATAAGAGGCAAGCGAAGTTTGAATAAAGGTAAGTAATAGGCAAGTATAGCAAATTAAGGTAATTATAAGAAATTTATAAAAAAAAATGTTGGGTCCGAGAGTTGAGTTGACGACGACGAAGAGGGATAAGTGGTTTATCCAACACAATATTAGCCAACGAACAACAAACCAACAAAAGCAGGGATATTTATACAGGGAGTAGAGCAAAATAAAAAACACTAAACGACGCAACCCAGTCTATATGCAGTCACAAAGAACATTACAGAAAATTCTGCACAACAACCTATAATGGAGATCTCCCTAGAACATCCGAAGATCATGATCAAAGATCGTCGAGCTCTCAACGTAAAATACATGTTTTAATAGAGAAGGGGAAAAAAAACAACTGAAGAGGAGTGTTCCGGTCCATTTATTCGTGTAATTATTTGCAGATTCTTTATTGGAATAAAAAAATTGTTAAATGTAATCGATATGGTACGGGAATGTGAACCGGAAGATCGTGTATCGGTGGTGGTGCAAAGCTTGATGTCTGAAACTTTCGACTTTTCATAACAAACACTGTTAACTTTGAAGATCTCATCGATTTCTCTTGCTTGAACTTTTTTCGGGTTTTATTGCATTGGTGCGCATGTTTGTATGTGTGTATCTGTGTTTGTGTATGTGTGTGTATGTGTGTGTGTGTGTATTTGCATCGGCGAGAAACTTCCAAAAATTTTTCGCTCTCAGTTTCATGACAGATAGAACTGATAGTATTTAACAGGTTCGGGTAGCCAAAATTAGAGCCATGGATAATCATAATCATCAATAATCATGATTTTGATGAATCAAATGATGTTTTTCCAACAGTTACAAGCATGTCGGCATATATAAAGGCTTTTGAAACTATGCGTGTGAAAAAGCCGACAATGCTAAGGTACCGGTGACGCAAGTGTGTGTCATTGTGAATGTATAAAGGCTATCGAAACTAATACATGTGAAGAAGCCAGCAATACTAATGTATCACTGGCTCATTCTATCTTTTTAAATGTATAAGATGTAGAAATCAGAACACACTGTGATAGATAAATAGGTAATTCCAATGTATACGTTGTGTGTGTGTGTGCTTAGATATCACCAGCATATTATATGTTAAGGTTTCAATGCATAGGGAGTTCGAGACGGAAGTTGGGTATTTCACTTTTCATCTCAGTAAGCCATGTATTGTGAGGTTACAAGAGAAGAGGAGAGGGAAGAAGACGATCAGGGATTTATAAAGATTTACTGGACCGGGCTGATATTTAAAAAGAGGCACTGGAATGGATTTGTCAGGCCAAACTTATAATTTTGAAAAAGAACGGCGGGAATTTCGCGGTTTCGTTCATATGTGGGATTCATTTCTTAACTTGAGCATTATCTTTTTAAATTCTGATAAAGCATTGGCATAATTAGCATTCGATTAATGTCACTGGTATGAAATATCCACACCGATTATCCAAGAAGTTTTGGTATTAACATAAAGTATTAAAATTCAAAAGGACATCACTAAAATGGGAGGCAGTCTTGATACTGATTTGCCGGGGCAGTCTTGGTATTTTTGTCATTATTAAGAAATATTAATATTTCAGTGACATTACTAACATGGGAATACCCATACAAATTACCCGGGTGATCTTGATATTTCCAGTATTAACATTTTTACTTGCATTGGGTGATTTTTATTGTAAAATTGGCAAATCTTATGGTATCATTATAATAATTCTGTGAACTCTTCTGCAGTTTTCGTGTATGGCATTCCATTTCAATGTTAATGTGATAATTCCTGTGATTAATATATCTGGTTTTGTATAAAATTTAACACGAAACTCTCCCTCACATACCTTTTCTTCTTTCCTCAGTTTCCCGCTTCCTCTGGGTGCTCACACGCTTCCCTCTC